CCCGCCTCTCCAGAGCCCCACCCTCCACTGTGCCTCCCACCCAGCCTGCCCCTGCTGAGCGACAGGCGTGCCCCTCTCCCCAGGCCACAGCGGAGACCGTGTACGACATCCTGTCCCCTGCGCCGCCTCTGTGTCGGGCCCTGTCGGACCGGCGCCACGCCCACCGCCGGCCGGCCCAGCCTGCTGACCTGCGTGAGGGCGTCGCCAAGGCCTACGACACTGTCCGCGAGGTAAGACTGCTGGCCGGCAGGGCTGCTACCTGTCCCTCACCCCGTCTCTGCCCTGTCTCTCTGTCTCTCTCTCCCGCCTGTCTGTCCGTTTCTCTCTCTCCTGCCTGTCTCTCTCTCTCTCCCGCCTGTCTGTCCGTTTCTCTCTCTCCTGCCTGTCTCTCTCTCTCTCCTGCCTGTCTGTCCGTTTCTCTCTCTCCTGCCTGTCTCTCTCTCTCGCCTGTCTGCCTGTCTCTCTCCTCTCTCTCTCTCCCGCCTGTCTGTCCGTTTCTCTCTCTCCTGCCTGTCTGCCTGTCTCTCTCCCGCCTGTCTGTCCGTTTCTCTCTCTCCTGCCTGTCTCTCTCTCTCTCCCGCCTGTCTGCCTGTCTCTCTCCTCTCTCTCTCACCTGTCTGTCCGTTTCTCTCTCTCCTGCCTGCCTGTCTGCCTGTCTCTCTCTCTCCTGCCTGTCTCTCTCTCTCTCCCGCCTGTCTGCCTGTCTCTCTCCCACTTGTCTGTCAGTCTGCCTGTTTCTCTCTCTCCCGCCTGTCTGTCCGTTTCTCTCCTGCCTGTCTCTCTCTCTCTCCCACCTGTCTGCCTGTCTCTCTCCTCTCTCTCTCCCACCTGTCTGTCCGTTTCTCTCTCTCCTGCCTGCCTGTCTATCTGTCTGTCCCACCTGTGTGACTGTTTGTCTGTCTGCCTGTCTCTCTCTCACGCCTGTCTGTCCGTTTCTCTCTCTCCTGCCTGTCTCTCTCCCACTTGTCTGTCGGTCTGCCTGTTTCTTTCTCTCTCTCCCGCTTGTCTGCCTGCCTGTCTCTCATTCCCCCGCCTGTCTCTGGCTGCTGCAGGCCTGTATTCACCCCTCTCTCCCTGCAGGGGGTGATAGACACCGCGCAGACCATCTGCGTCATGGCGTCGCGGGGTCACGAGCAGAAGGGGCTGCCGGGGGCGGTGGGCGGGGTCCTGCGGCAGATCCCGCCCACGGTGGTCCGCCCTCTCATCGTCGCCACGGAGGCGACCTCCAACCTGCTGGGCGGCATGCGGAACCAGATCAAGCCGGACGCGCGGAAGGAGGACTTCTTGAAGTGGCGCACCGAGGACAGCCAGGAGTGAGGGGGAAGGAGAACCCTGCTGCACAGGGCGGGGCTCCCGCCCCCCCAGGGGGACTGCAGAGGCGCCGCCCTGCTGGCCGGCCCTGGGGTGGGAGCTGCTGGCGGGTGCTCGTCTCTGATCCCGGAGTGGCCAGTGTCCAGCCCCCACTGTCCCCTCCATGTGTGTGCATGTGTGTGTGCGTGTGTGAATGTGCTGCTC